CATATCACTCTCAAATGAATATCTGTGGCAAAATCCTCCAAAATCGAGCGAAATCTGGACCAAAGATAGCCAATGAAACGACAAGTACGAGGCTATTTTCAGATTTTTTTTATTGCTTCTTGGCGCTTCACAACCAAGGATTAATGGTCCCGACAAATGACAGCCAATCTTTAAATTTACGCAGCTCAGTCATTTCGCATCCAATCGAGCTCAAATCAAGGGACAAGTTGTCGACGTGTCACCATGCCACGACTAACCACGACCATCCCGACGACCAACGTTGGAGTTTGTACCACGACCTTCTAAGGAACAAGCGGTCGCCTGGCAAGGGGTAAGGTCTCCGAGCTCCTTCTGAAGTATGGCATCTCAAGGCAGACCCTCTCCAAAGTTTGGAAGCGGGGACAAGAAACTCGGTCCCAGGATGACCGAGCTGACGTGGCATTGAAGAGGAAGAGTCGTTCAGGGCGGCGGCCAAAGCGCACCACGGACGAGGTCGAGGCTGCCGTCAAGAGTATACCGCCGCATCTGCGCATAACGTTCGCTTCGTTGGCAGCATCCAGTGGCATCCCACCGTCAACGCTATGGCGCGTCCTTCAGACAAGAAAGCTTCAACGGCGGACCAGTCAACTCGAGCCGATGATGACGGACAAGCACAAGGCCGACCGCGTGGACTTCGTTAGGTCCTTTGTTCGCTCGACAGGCAATGGCCCAATGCGGTGGGACGACATGCACGACAGTGTGCACATCGATGAAAAGTGGTTTTACCTCATGCTGGTGAACCGCCGGTACTACCTATGGCATGACGAAGCCGTACCGATCCGCAAGTTTTCCTCAAAGCGCCACATCATCAAGGTCGTGTTTTTGACAGCCGTGGCCAGGCCGCGCTACAACTACAACTCGCGAACGATGTGGGACGGCAAAATCGGCATATGGCCCTTCGTGTCGGTAGTGCCAGCGCAAAGGAAGAACAAGAACCGCGACCGAGGAACGTCCGTGACGACTCCGGTGACTGTTACCAAGCCGGTATACCGGGAGTATCTGCTAAAGCATGTGATCCCGACGATCAAGGAGGTTTGGCCAGGTCGACGCAGTGAACCAATCTACATCCAACAAGACAATGCGCGACCGCATGTTGAAGTCGACGACGCTGACGTGACGATGGCGGGTTGTTCGGACGGCGGGGCTCATTGCCGGCACAGCCGGCAATGAGCCCCGACTTCAACGTTTTGGACCTTGGGTTCTTCGACTCGATCCAGGCCTTGCAGCACCGTGAAGTTGTTACCAGTATTGACGACCTAGTTGCTGCCGTGCACAGCGCTTTTGACGACCTCGATTGGCGACAAGACATTTTTGACCCTTCAGAAGGTTATGGGTGAGTCATTGAAGATGGGCGGCGACAACTCGTTCAAATTGCCGCACTCGCACAAGGACAAGACTGCAAGGCTTGGTCGAGTTGCCCCTGTCTTGTGTGATCCAGACGTGGTCAAAGTTATCCGAGGCGATGAATACCCGGAAGGATTTCGAACGTAGGGCAGATAACCTATCTAGTGTGTTGTCCGCTTGTGATATTGAGGGAGTGATCAATACGTCCAATATTGATCACCTCTGCACAATTGTCGAGTCCATGACGACCTGACTTGCAGCATATCATGTTTGCTCTTGTCGTAAAGTCAAGTTTATGAATAAAAATACAGTTTTCCTTCATGCCGAGTATACAAACAATAAGATAAAAATATGGCCAAAACCAATGTCTCCAGTATTGCGGAATGGAGGAAGTACTATGTACTATGTAGTACTGCTCTGGTCCATAATGATCGTTAAAGTATTTTCACTTGATTAAAGTATACTTCAGAGCCAAAAGTAACTTGGTTTTTGTATTGAACCATAACAATACATAATAAACAATTGAAATTTAATTGATTGGCAAATGCCCACCTTGCCATCGAACTCTTAACGTAGGTGCGGGTCATACCGGGGGCGAGCAACGGCAGCCAAAAACATTACCTTCTTATTGAAACGTTTGGACTTGGCAGCTCGAAGTGCAAGCTCTTCATTTTCGTAGACGTAGAATTTTCTCCTGACCTGAGTCAAAAAGAACTACTTCTCGTCGATATGTACTTGATTATACGTATTGTCGAAGAAGTGACTTCCCTTTGACCCAGGTAAGAGAAATTTCATTGTAAACCGCAGTCGCTCCGTGTTGTTGGTGTCGGTGCTTGATGTGGCGCCTTGAACTTCTTGGTCACTCCCATATGTCGCATGATGGTGGTCTTGGATGTGCCACTGTGGCTGGCGAGGGAGCGCAACGTTTGGCGGTCTTCTTGTGGCGCGGCCTTGATCGTCACTTCGATTTCTTCATGAGTCCTCACAGGTTTGGATCCAGAATTCCCTAACATAGTAATCCTGTAAAAACATATTCAACGCAAAATGCATATATTTTGGTCCCAATATGGATTTCGAAAAGTCATACCATGAATTTTGGCAGCGATGTCAGCCACCGGAGCGCCATGGAGGAGCGAGAGCCGTCCACGTGACCAGAGACGAGATATAGTCACACGGTGGCACTGAAAGTGTCGGGCAACATCCGACACTGCACCGTATGGAAGCTAGTTGTCGTGAAAGCGAGAAAGAAGCATCTCGTAAGCGGCGCGGCGCTCGTCATCCGAGAGATTTCGTTGGTGGCTTGCAATGCCCACGTCCGTTGGTGAACGCGCGGCAGTGGGTGATGGCATAGATTAACACAGGAATAACACAAGGTTAAGCAGACAGGGTGTCAAATTGAGTAGTACTAGTAGTACTAGTAATGACTATCTGGCGCAAGAATTGGATGGCTCGAGCACTCGTTGGAACTTTTCCCACCTCATAAGGCCCTGGTCGGGGAATAATTTTGTCCATGTTTCCGTCCATTCATATATATCCGGTTAAAAAATATTCTGATGCACAAGCAACCTTGTGGTCGGTAAAGGAAATCAGTTTTGTCCCTGCCCCCATCAGGATTAATCCAACTCGTGCCGCCGTTGTTGCAACTGCATGCACCATTTCCGCCGTGTGCATCGGGTTAGCCACCGTCCTCCATAGACGTTCGTGTGACAAGTTTAATATACTCACCGTTACAAAAGTCGACTTTGACTCTATGCTCGGACACCCTCAGTACGAAATATGGTTCAAGGCCAATCTGCGATGCAGCCAAGCTACGTTCGGTCGGCTCGTCGATTGGCTACGCCACGAACTACCTGAACGCTACCGTCGGCTTTCCTATCACTCGTTCGAAAAGAAGGTGGCTGTTGTGTTGTACTTTCTCGGCTCCGACGGAGGATACCGTGAAACGGTCGCTGCGTTTGGAATGTCCAAGTCGTGGTGCGTTAATGTTGTGAGCGTGTTGGTGGGAGTCTTGTCGTCAAGCGCAGCAACGTGGATCAGTCTACCAAGAAACTCCGCGGAGTGGAACGACGTTGAGTAGGTATTTTTTGTTTGGCAAAAAATACCTGGTGTGGTTGGCGCTGTCGACGGCACCCTCGTCAAAATACAACGCCCCAAGGACTACGACGAGTTTTACAATCGCAACGGCGACCCATCCCTCAACATCCAGGCAGTGGTTGACGCCAAGACCCGTTTTATGTCGGTCGACATTCGCCCAGGCTCGTACTCTGACAAAAAAATCTGGAAAACATCATCGTTCGGCCATTCCATTAGTTGGAAAATACCCAAGGGTTGTTTCCTCCTTGGTGATGCCGGTTACACCTTGCTGCCATGGCTTATCACACCATTCATGCCTCACGAGGAGCACGGTAATTTATCTAAATTACAAAAGAATTTCAATTACAAACATTCCAGCACTCGAATGTCGGTTGAATGTGCATTTGGACGACTCAAGGAAAGATTTCGAGTTTCGAAGACGGTGATGAACGAAAAGTCGCTCGATCAAACCACAATCGTCGTGACTGCGTGCTTTGTGCTCCATAGCATGTTCTTGTATTACAACGATGGTTTGTTTGCCATTCCAAATCGCCGTCGCGACCGCAACGATCAAGTTCAGCCGTTTGATCAGTCGGAGTCGGAAACAAACCCATTCCTCCGCAAGACAGCTTTGACGAAGCGCACTGCCATTGCACGAATTTTATATTAAGTGTAATAATTGAGTGAACAATATTAACGATTTTGCGTAATATACCTTAATCTTTTTTTTGCGCTAAGAGCTGCGTCATGGTATCGGACTGGGCCTTAATTGCAGTAAGAACATCGTACAGTGTAGCACCAGGCGTTGCTTGGGGTTGAACACCAGACATCGATGACCCCAAAAACATCAATCCCTCCTTGATGGAATTAAATCCAGCTTCCAATGACGCTGCTGCGTCTTTGGGCTTCTTTTCCACATTGTTTTTCTTTTGCTTCTTCTTTTGTGGCTCTTCAGTTTTGATTTCAACGTCATCCTCCTCGTCTACATTTATATAATAGCTCATTAATATATAGTAGTACGTAATATATATATTATTTATACCATCCAATACGACCACGTTGTCATCCTCGATACAATCATCCGTGCTCATGAGGGATTCCCTTTTGTTCCCCACCTTGGTACCCCAGTACTCCAGCATGATGTCATAGTGCATTGGAAGTTGAGCCTTGGACAAGTTCCCCGTTGGACTGGGCAAACTTGGCTTTGACACGGACCATTCTGTTTTCATCTTGGCAAACTATTTGAATACAAGTCAATCAGTGGGTGACTGCCAAATATCTCGCAACGTCGATGGGTCGCAATCGAGGCACTCCACGACTTGGCTCGACCTGCCTTTGTTACCCGGTGAGATTGCGAGAAAATTTGTGCACGATGCCAAAGCCTTTGAAGATGTCAAATTTTACAGTGTCGATGCGAGAGGGTTCGCTCGCAAATGCAATGTTTGCGATGACGATTTTTCGTCTTCACAAAATACGAGCGTGGTTCTATTTCAAAAATGTCTCGGATTCAACCGGAAGAAAATTTGTTTTGCGAGATATTTGGCAGTCATCCAGTTTTGAAATGCCTATACGAGAAATACACGCACCTTGTCTTGCACCTGCTTTGCGACGAATTCACGTTGCATTTCGACGCTGAGCTCTGCCGCCAGCATCACGTACGCCACGCGCTTACCACTGTTGTTCTTCGAGTCGAATCTGGACGCCAGACGGGAATTGTACCGGAGCGAGAACTAGGTGGCGACGCTTCGGTCGCACCAGAGCATCCCCATTGGCACTTGCTTCTTCGCCCGCTTTGCCGGCTTGTCTTGACGAACGTCGTAGTCTAATGTGATTCATGATATGTTGTGAGTTAAGGTGCTGTTTCATATAGAATATGTCGTGCTTGTACCATCATAGTCTGCATTTCCAGCATCGACTTTCTTTGCGTCCTCGTCCATTAGGGTGCTCCCTCCAACTTGAAAAGCTTCTGACTGATGGTGTGAAACATGAACGAGCGTGAACGACTCGTCTCCGCTTCTCAAGCCAAGTTGAGCATGAACAACATCCGGTTACCGGATAATTCTATCCAATCAAAACTAATTTGTCCATGTTTGCAAGGCATAGACATGGACGAAAACTTTCCCCGACCAGGGCCTAACTTTGATCCAAAAGGTGGTTTTGGACTCATAATGCGTCCAATCAAAGTTGATATCCTGTGCTTTCTAACGCACCAATCAGAAGTGATATTCGAGGTATTTTAGATAAATTCCGCCAATAATACATAATACGACACTGTAACGATCATTGTGGATCATAGTAGTACTACTCTGTTCCGCGAAGAGTCCCATTTTTTATCTTGATTAAAGTATACTTTGCTGTGAAAATAATCTTGAAGTTTGTATTGAACTCCCAGATTACATGATGCGTCACAAAAATATAATGACAATTTTATTAAAATTACTCAACTACTGGTTCTTGGGAATTCGAGGTGCTCAGGAAGGCTTCAGTGAATTGCAGGGTCACAATTAACATTGAACAATGACAGGTCCGTTATGGACGCATCTTTCCTCATGTGGGGAAGCTTATAGTCATTCTGTCCCATGTTTTGAAGAGACTTTTCCAAAGTAATGAAGGATTTAGACAACGTGTCAAGAGGCAGGTCATGAAATGAACTCTCTACAGCATCAACAAGGTTCGAGTAACCTTTTGACTTTGTAGGCTTTGGATCGAGTTAAAACATCCTAAATCAAGGACATTCAAGTCAGGGCTGTTTGCAGGCTGGTTGGCAGCTTCAATACCCTCAACACCATATTGTAGCAGAAGCTGCGAAGTCACACAGGTAGGTATGTGGACTTGCATTGTCTTGCTGCAAGTCTATTATTTTACTCTGATCCCCCAACGGGAATTTAGATTTCATCGCCGGCACAACTTTCGTAAATATCATGTCGCGATAACCATCAGCAGTAACCGTCTGAGGTACAGTTACAACCGTGCCTTTTGGACGATTTTTGCTACCCCGTTTCGCCGGGACTCTTTCAATGAAAGGCCAAAGGCCCAACTTCCCATCATACATAGATTTTTTGTGAAAATCATATCTTGGCCGCGTCACCGCAGCCAAAAACATAACCATCGTGATAAATCGTTTGGACTTCAATTTTCTTATGGAGAGGACTTCATCTTCATATGCATAATATCTCTTCTTTACAGTCCTTAAAAAATAACACTTTTCATCAACATGCACAAAGTCGTGCATATTGGAAAAAATGATTTTTTTCGACGACTGCAAAAGAAAAGACATTGCATGCTTCACGCGGCTTCTTTCGTTGTCTTCGGTGAGAAACGGCTTCGGGTAGCTTGACTTGCACTTTAGTTGGTCTTCTTCCGCCATGGGTCGAACGAGGGTGGCCTTCGGGGTCCCGAAGTGCTCGGCCACAGAACGCAACGTCTGACGGGCCACCTATGGTACTGCCTTGACGGCGGCCCTAATGTCGCTCGAGGTGCGTTGCACTTTCGGGCCCGAATTCGTACATGAAATTAATGTATTCGCTTCAACTATCTTTCGGGATCGCGAAACACTAGCGAAACATCGTATCCGGAAGATTCTCGACCAATTAAAATGACTCATTTCATTAAATACACTCATGTCCAAAAAGCGATGTGCGGAAGCTGCAAGCCTCGTCGAATGGGATGCAGGCGACCACATAATGCAGCTCCGCGTGGTAGGATGAACCAGGTTACAATACAGTACTATGCTCGTGCATTTTCAACGATGGCTTATCGACAATAACCCCGATTTGGTTGAAAGCAACAGCATTTGTCTGACCATTCCACCAGGCGTTTGCAAAGAATTCCTCACGTTCGTATCGACGAAACGCGACGCACAAGGCAATGAGCTAGTGCCACAACGCCACAACTCGTATTCCACAATCAACGGGTACAAGAGCGTAATAAAGTTTCTTGACTCGGAAAGAAAGTGTGATGCTTCGGTTGAGTTAGAGTTGACGTTGAAACGTAAGCATTATACCTACACTGTAGTGTATAACTAAACCCCTATGTAGAATTTGCGAACGGGTACAAGCGACACGTAGCTCAGCTGAAGGAAGATGGCGAAATGCCCGTGAGTGAGGGAAAATGCCCCATGCCAAAAGAGGGTAGCAGTTATTTCAGTTGTTCTTACGCTAAGCAACAGTATCAATATATATTTGTGAAACTAGGTTACATGTTTCTGGCCATGGCGGGTGCTTCGAACGGCACGAACTGCGCTCATTATGCTTGCGTGCATTGCTTCCTTCTGTTACCTTATTGCACCTGCAGCTTTGGTTTCCTCCATTAGATTCGATCACATTTCGTGGGAAGGTTACAGTTCATAGATATATTTTGATATTCGTTTATCGCATTAATCTTCAAAAATAGGAGATGCTTTGATTGTCAAGTTCGGCAGAATGAAAAATGACCAAGACGGGTCGTCGTGCTTACCCAAGCATGTATACGCAAACCCGAAGGAACCATCCATACGCGCAGTGCTGAGGTACATAAACATACAAGTAGTAATATATACAAATATTATATATATGTAGTAATATATATAATATTTGTAGCTTTGCGGTGCTTGTGTTTTCCAAAGGATCCCAGCGCGATTTGAAGTCAACACTCATTTTTGGGCAAAACGCGAAGGAACTCTTTTCCGCATGGGTCCAGCGTACATGTGAGAACGAGCGCGACCATTTTGCCCATTGGGTTTGTCCGTTGATGACGTGGGAACGCATTTCTTTCGTAAGGGGTTTTCGACCGCGCTCTCCAACACTCCTGGTGAACCTAAAGCAGTTTCAGTGTGGTTACGGGCTGGGTGGAGCCTGGGCAGCGTTCAGAAACGATACATTTTTGATGGTGCTGAAGGTAACCAACATGTTGGACGAGCAGCAGCGGGTAATATATTTTTCGTGGTGTGATGTTAGTCTATTTAATTTCACATTATGACATGCATTCATTAGGTTTGGATATGAACAGCAAGGATTTCGGGGTGTTACCCCCACACTTTGTTGGTTCGATTCTATCCAAAAAGAATGGGAATCTATTTTGCCTGGCTTTCAGTCACTCTACCCATCGACGTTTCGTTGTGTGCTTCCATTCCTCCTCGTGTCCGTCGTCCACCACCAGGAATGGCTTCGATCTACGCTCCATACGTCCCACCCATTGTTTCTGTCGCTTTTGTGGACGTCCGGTGTGGTCCAGCAACTCACACCACGGGTACAGCTTGGGTCGATGTCCAATCGTGAGTCGTCGTTGTTTGCTTCTGGTGTACCTCCTCATGTCACACTGGCACACCGATTGAGTCAAGTCGAGAGTGGACTGGCTGCTCTAACGTCCACAGTTGATGCTGGGTTAAAGTCCCTACCTGATCAACTTTGCTCCAGTGTCGTTGCAGCGATGTCAACTGCACCTGCTGTCTGTGTTTCCTGGTCTGGCATTGATGAAAGAATCACTCAGCGCACCGAGTTGTTATTTTCCAAATTGAATTCTCGCCTAATTACTACCAATACTGTCCCTACAACAGCCTTGGGCCAAGGCGAACTGCACAATAGTGAAGTGGACCGTGAAACACACACGTGTTTGCAGTGGACATGGAATGGAAAAATCCACGCCGTCCCACAAGGGTTTGAGGTCCCAACATGCAAAGTCATAGATTTGTGGAAGCTGTGGTGGCTTGGGACTCCCACGGAAAAATCGGCCCACTTCAGCGGTTAAACACCTGGGACATTTCCAGGGCGGGTGCTGGGAACCTCTCCAAAGCGCGTCATGTTATCAACACCATTGTGTCCTTCTCAAGCCTGAGCCAAGCCTGAGTGGTAGCGACATGGAGCGCTTGCCGCCGTCCAAACTCCACAAACAATTTGGCCCATGTTTCTTACGTGCCTCACAGTGGACATACGGTGAAATGACATCGGAGGAGTCGCGGCGTAGGAACGTTGATGACATTAGTTACATCACGTTTTATAGTGCAATGGTTTTGACTACGCAGCCTTCTGCCATCAAAAGTAGGCAAAAGGCTGCGTAGTCAAAACCATTAAATGACAATTTATATTGATGTCAACCTTATTGTCAATCAATAGATCGAACCACTACAAAACGCGATACCGTGGCTTTGAACATACATCAGCAAAGAGCACATTTGCTGAAAAACTATGCACTAATTGGTTTGAAAAGAAATATTACCTATTATGTACCGGGGGAGCGTATGGCACACGGTGCTCTTGCGGTGCGTGCGTTCAAATCGATGGACACACGTGCCGAATCTATACAGACCCACACGGCTTGTGTTGAGCACGCTGGGCTCGCACAGGTTGTGCTTTTATGCACAGACACACACAAAGGTCTTCTGGCAGTGCATACACAATGCTCGATTGTGCATTAGTTATCTATTGTATACCGCTTACGCTTTGGGCGCAGTCTCCTTGTGTTCATCATATCCTTCTATTAATACTACGTACTGTACTGTAGTAGTAACGTTATTTATACTACGTATTCGTTGAATAGACCACTCAATTCCAGTGTCAGTACTACGTTGTACTATTAGTAGTACTAATACTAGGGAGCGCTACTGCATACTGTAGTACAGTAGTATGTACTTCAAGTACTATGTAGTACTACTAATACTAGTAAGTACTGCTAGTATTAATAGTACTGTATTACATTCCTGGAAATACTACTGCTAGGTACAGTAGACTATTAATAGTACTACCGGTAGTCGTATCCCACTTCAATTCGTACATCCGCATACAGTACATGATACTACTCCGTTCCTAGTATTACATACTGTATACACTACTAGTATACAGTTAAATATTGTGCTCCTACTACTCGTACTAACTAACTCCTTTGAACCCCCCTAGGTTAACGTTAACTGTAGATCATTGTATTCCGTTCAGTATCGTACAGTACATAGTGTCACCTACATGTA